AAAAAGAAACACAGCTGTCAAAAAAAAATCAAAACGCAACGTAAAGGGGGCAAAGGTCACCCCATATGAACACCGCTGCTTCCTACCCTTCAGATAATGTAACAAACTGACCTTTAAGCTATTGGGAAAAAAAAAAAAAAAAGCCATGCTAGTGCATTTCTGGACATACTTTTAAACGTACCACAAACATACGAACTGTGTGCACAGACAGAACGCAAACATCTTCAGGTTCACTTCTTGTGAAATATACTTGTACCTAGAAAATATAGAATTTCTCTCCATCAAAAGACTGAGGTAAAAAGGAAATGTTCTGTGATTAGATATGAATAAATCATGCTACAAATGTTTTAGCTGACATGTTTCTGCATCCTGATGCCGTTTGTTACTAGTAATTATTTTCTTTAAGAACTGATAGCGGGGGAAAAAAATGCATCTGTTTTTTAATCTAAAAATGAACTGCATCTGTTAAAAACGTGGTCATGCTTTAAAAAGAAAATAAATAAAGGATGTCTCACTTTTTTAAGTCTAAATAAAAACTCCTTTCCAGGTCTTGAGGAAGCCAAATTATTTTGAAATGCATCAAAACTCATCCATACCCCTTCCCTAAAAATCACAATGAGGATTGTAAAAGACGACAAAAAATAAAAACAGATAAAAAGAAAAAAAAAAAAACTCCTTCAATACCATTTGCAACAACAGGTAATACTACTACTCTCTGTACCTCATTAAAAAGGGAGTAAGTCATTTCGCATGTTCCTTTTCACATTCAAACTTTACACAAGGAGAGTCAAGATTAAAGGATAAAACAAAAAAACTATGACAATGTGGTCTAGTACTTCGTTGCAGCACATCAAGGTGTCTGCAGAATTTGCCTGTGTGTAGATCAATGCCAACAGCACCAGGGGGCATGGCAAAAAGGACCTCATTTGAGCAGTGTGGAATGAAGGAACGAGGCGATTGTTAGGAGCACGGGATGGCCTCAGTTCCACCTTATATCTCTCACCAGAGTGCAAATATCCCAAAGCCGCAGGAACCGCTCAGGCCTTGGCTAAAAGTCAGCAAACTCTTTTGCACACTTTTCTGTTTGCGAGACGCGGATGTCCTCTTCTTCATAATCGTCAAAGTTGCTTGTGTCTCCGGGTCCTCTGCACTTCGGCAAGAACGGAGCTTCAACCTGAAACAAAGTTTGAAAAAGTGCCAACGTAGGGCAAAATCTGACAGCGTGGAATGAAAGACATGTAAGTGTTTGAGGAAAAGGAAATACCTTTCGCTCATAGATGGCTATCCAGTCTGTTGAAGAGAACCACTTATGGTTCTTTATGTCGTTTACACCGTTCTTTAGGTTGCCGAATCTCTTTGTCAGATCCACCTGGAGCAGGTTCCTCAGCAAGTCCTTCAAGTCGGAGCTAAAGTGAGATGGAAATCGCACCTGCAAGGCAAGAAGTAACGTGTCCTGATCAACAGAAGAAATTGACATAGAAATATATATATGTTTCTGTCTCATCAAAGAGCTAAAATGCCATAAACCAACAAATTATAAAACTTCCAGACAAACTAAATTCTAGTGCCGGCAACATCTATTTTCTTTCTTATAAATGTCTCCTAAGCTTACATATTTCAGAAAAATTAACATCATTTTTCATGTGAATAATTGCAGTTAAAAGCAAATTTGAAAAACATTTTTCTTTTTGGGGGCAACAGTTCATTAAAATGAACCAAAAGCATGACTACTGTTAGGCGTTTTTAGCAACAGGACATTGCTGTGGTTAAATTTTGTCCCGTTTCAGGTCATATCACGTCACAGTTTGATATGAATATGGATTTTGACTGGGCCACTTATTGGTTTGGACACATCTTTACCATTAGTAGCCACAATCACCCAATCCTATAACACAGACGTTAAAGAACAGATCAGAAGACAACTTTGACTTTAGTGCCTTTCCCATGACGAGGGGAAACTGGGGAAAACTCTTGCTAGATTACGACTTTACGCATAGAGCCACAAACACCACAGATTTTTGTATTCACTCAAAAATAGAAGAACTCTATTTTCCAGTCAGTATTTATGTTAATGTATTGGTACCTTCTAAAAACAAATAAATCATTAAATGTTTAAACAAACAAAAAGACAAAAAAAAAATCACACTAATAATTTTGGAAACTTTCAATCATTTCTTTTTCTTAATCATTATTTTAAAGTTTATGTCTTTTAGCCCCACAGACTAAGGTAAACTGTCAGCATGAAGCATGAAATAGGTCCTAATAACTGATTAGCTAACCTACATTGAAATTTAACTGCAGTTTATTACACTGACGCATTCAAAAAATTAATATTGCAACAGAGCAATATGAAGTTGAGTGAGGAAATATGCTATTGGTATATAACCAAAACACATTTTAATTTATGATTTTCAGATTACACGAGTCTAAGATATATTTAAAATAAGTTATAAATGAGAAGAGCCAACAGAAAACCATGTAAGAGAATCAACTCCCATATTCTAACAAAATTAACTATTTTTTCTTACCTTGCCAGACACGATCTTTTCATAAATCTGTATGGGCTGATCGGCAAAAAAAGGAGGGTAACCAGCAGCCATCTCATAAATAAGAACTCCAAGAGCCCACCAGTCAACAGCTTTGTTGTAGCCCTGAGATAAGGAGATAAATCAAATCACAATTACTCCCTAGATAAAGTCTGGGAAAGCTTCACGCTGTAAAAACAAAAATAAAATGTGCCACGATTATTGAATCAAATCTAATCTATACTCCCCTTTTAAGATGATAAGAGTAGAAATGTGTGCTTTAGCTTTAGGAGCCACACAATATTCTATCCTGAGAGTAAATGCTTTGTTTGCAGCTGTTGTGCAGCCATCAAACACCTAGAGTCACTTGGTATAACCCTGGTGATAATGCACTATGTCAGCACAGCAGTCAGCTTCAATTCCTGCCTGCATCAAAGCCTCCTGACTTCCAGTCTTGTGTCTGAGTCAAGGGAAATAAATCCGAACACAGACAAGTCACTCAAGCCTTTAAAGCCAATATGATGTTTGAGAACAAAAACTACTTGGCTTATCTTTAAAGTCCTTTTCCATTAACTTGTTTTTTTTTTTTTTTATCTCATATATCATTAACTGAATAAGGCTCCCCTGAATTTGAATCAATGGAAAAGCAAACGTAACAATAATCCCACTTAACTCAACAATTAAAGATCAATCTTTCAAATCTTAAAATAAATCCACTTCATGCGGTATTTTATTTTCTGAACATATCAGTGCTCAGTTGTTAGTTTCAGTTAAAAAGTGATAAATCCAAAATTTATTGTAATGTTAATGTACATCACGCATGTCAGCACCAATACAACTTCTGATAATCAATAGAGTTGAAAGAATTACAAAGATTTGTAATGTTTATACCTGACATCCCTAAATAGTGAAAAATGACAGGTTTTTGGTTTGTTTTCTCCTTTTGTTTTTTTTTTTTCCAGATATCAGTGATCAATGAATATAGATTTTTTTCTATGAGTGTCTGTTTCTTCAAGCTCATTGGTAAGTTATTTGTCTTCTTGCTGGCTTAGATGTTTTTTTAGGTCACAACGAAAGAGTTTAACCAGGATTATATCTTGATACGACACGTTCAAAGAATGAGTGGTTCTTTGTCCTTTTCTGGGTTTTGTATACTTTAGGAAACATTTCTTTGACTCTTTGAAGCTTAAAATGTAGTTATCCCAGTTTATCACAAAACATTGGTTAATAAACAGTACTTGGTGTCCCCTTATATTAATTTTGATTCGATCTGTTTTTACAATAGTGAAAGTGGTTCAACTGTATTCCAAAATACTCATGTATTTTATTTTTTTCCTGTCACATTAAACACAAAGTGCAAACTTGTAAATCAGACAGTTTAAACTTTATATGTAAACAAAACTGTCTCATAAGTGCAAACTTGTTTGTGAAAAGCGAAAAGTGAAGCCTCACATGAGCAAGCAGACGTGATACAGCGGGGAAACAGCAGACATGCATAAGCTGCATTATCTCCACTGCAGAAACCATATTTCCAGCATTGTCTGTAACAACTAAAGGGTGTTTGCTGGTCAGCCCCAATTTATGAATGTCTTCAGTCAACCTATTGGTTATATTTGCAGCTGTCTGCAGCTGTCTTGAAGTCATCTTGAGTACATCTTTCCTGCTCATTTGAATTTGAACATCACGCGCGTCACTATAAAATTATTTGATCTCATTCCCTAGACATCGATTTTGCCAAAATGTAAAGGAATCAATTCGAAATCGATTAAATCGATTTTTTTTTACCCAGCCCTAGTCCTCAGGTATTGTTCTTTGGCCCTGAGAAGACACTTTGGAGCCAACTATCTGCATTTAAGAACCCAGTCCAAAATGCTTTTATATGTTCAGAGATAATCAAACAGATGAGCGATCAAACCAAATCATGATATGGGCTGCCAGAGGAAGCAGCTTTAATAGAGTTGCACAAACAGCTTTGCAGCAATAAGCAGGTTATAGGTTTTACTGTAGGTGTTAAAAGGAAGAATGTAGTAAAATACTTTATGCAGGATGTGCTGTTTTACACCAATAACTGACCAAAACAATCTAATTTACCGCTACATCCTATATTTCAACATATGTAGCAAATGGAGGAATTTTTTGTTTTCTTTTTAATCAGGAACAATAAAATAATAAAAATAAAAAGTCTAGATGGTATTAAAATCTTTTTATTCCTGTCATTTTAGAGCTTAGTAGTACCAGAGATGTTTTTTGCCATAATAAACTTAGAACTCCTGAATAGCACTTATCAACACCAATTGCACTTTGAAGTTTTCTTGTTTTTGTTCAAAGATTGTCTGATTGAAAAGACAATAACATCCAATTATATGACAGTAGAGTTAAAGTTATAGAAAAATAAGGAAGCTTTTTATAAAAGATGAACTTCTGCACAAATACTACGTTTTTTTATATGATTGCTACTATGTTATTGAACCCCATAGAAACGCTGCCTGACTGCCTATCAGTTTCGGTGGAGGAAGATGGACGACAATGGTTCACCTTGCTGAGGATGATCTCAGGAGCCAGATACTCAGGAGTTCCACACAATGTCCAGGTTCTGCCTTTTACTCGCTTGGCAAAACCAAAGTCTGTGACCTTGAGAGAAGATGACATCCAAGTGAAAAGGCAAAGACAATGTGTTCAAATGTGATTTTTCTTTAAGTCTTATCAAAAAACAAAAAGGTAAGTCCACTTTATTTTTTTGTTTCTGCTCTGGTAACTTTATTTTTTTCTACACTAAATCTGAGATGACCTGGTTACCTGGATGTATCCATGTTGATCTATGAGCAGGTTTTCAGGCTTCAGGTCTCTGTAGATGAGGTCTAAAGAGTGAAGGTACTCGAAGGTGAGCACGATCTGAGCTGCATAAAATCTTGCATGATGTTCACTGAAAAAAGGAAACACATGATTGGAGAGACTGTAGAAAAGTTGGACTATTTCAAGAGAAATAAGCAAATAAGTCCATGACAAATAAAAAAACTAAACCATAACCATCAGATTCGCCTTGTACCTGAACCGTCCTGTGCGTCTAAGGTGTGAGAACATTTCTCCACCGGGCACATACTCCATCACCATGTAGAGGTTCGAGTTGTCCTGGAACATTAACGACATTTATCACAGGGGTTCTTTCAATGTATGACAACAATATAATCGGTCTAATTTTAGTCCTCAGAATTAGAAAAATTTCCTAAACAGTAAAGAAACACAAGCCCTGGCATTTCTTTCAAGAGACAACAGTAAAGTAATGAAATGGTAAATATTGGATGCACTGATCTGTTTTTTTTTTTTTTTTTCCCCGATCCAGTCTGATACCGATATACGGTCTGAGAATATGGGCTGATATCCGATACCGATTAGATACTTCTGTTGAATAAATCAACCGTTTACCTTGCCAAATGAGTAAAAGGCATCACGCTTAATATAAACATTGTTAAAAAAAAAGGCAACAAATGAACACAGATGTAAATCCTCAGTAGCTTCTTTGTATACTCTCTACAGTGTCGTAATCAGCGTTACAGTCATCTGATTGAAGTAACCAGAATCCATAAAATTAAAAATGACTGGATCGGTCATTCATCCTTTATTTGATGTAACTAATCAGTCAGTATTGGAGCTTATATTCGGTCGGGATGTTCAGATCGGTGCGTCTCTCATAAATGTATGCTATGTTGTTTCGGATGCTACATTTGCTTACTGAAATCACATAATCAGAGGCTTTTCAAATTATGCAAACTCAGATAGGATCAATATTTGGGAATGTTGTAAGAAAATGATCAAAAGCATGAATACTTCAGGACAAAAATGAAGTATTGAAAACGACATCTGGAAAAAGAAACTCTTCAAACTCAGACGCAGAAGGCTTCACCTCCATCATTACCTTGAAAGCGTATTCCAATCTGACGAGGAATGGGAAGGACACGGCTTGTAGTATTTTCTTTTCATTTAATGTGTGCTCTATCTGCTTCAACTTCACCACCTGAAAACACAGAGCAATGGAGAATTCAATGAAAAGTATTCTGGATGCTCCCTAATGTGTCGGATAGGCGTCGAAGTTGTATGTCAGCACACAGCAGCAGAGATACCACCAAATGACTAAAATAAAACCTGGCAATAAGATTTGCTAGGATGTGACGGCTGCAGTTTCAAGATTCTGAAAACAAATTAACATTTTACCTTAAATGATGTCAAATGCTGTAGCTATATCAACCATGTGTTTAAAAACTCTCTTTCCCTCATAATAAAGTAGATTAACAGCGTAGTAAATTAATTCCCAAATTTCCAAACTAAACAGCTCAGCTGTGCTGCAAAGCCTTCATTCCAAACAACTCACCAGCTTTTGCAGATATGCAAAATAACAAGGCACCATATGACCAGTGGTCTAGATAAGGGTTGAGATACATCAAAGACCTCTTCTACAAACATAAGTAAAGGTTTTCAAGACTAAACAAAAACATAAGCTAAATACAGCAAATTGTTTAATCTTGTACAAAATAGGTACACTTCACAGGAACAAGTTGTTTCAGCCTAAAACTGAATTATCAGGATGCATAACTGCTTTAAAATCCAGTATGCCTGGTTTCTGCATGCTTTTGTATTCACCCACTTTAATCTTATAGTTTTAAATAAAGTGCAAAAGCTCTCAGTTATCAAATTATTAGTAAGTCTGGCTATGAGTCCTTTGATTTCAGTAGAAATTCATCAGTTTTTTTTAAGGCCTCCGAAGTGTTTTAGAAAACATCCAAGACCAACGACCATAGGGAACACATCAGGTATACAGCTGTGAGAAAGTTAAGTTAAGGCCACAAGGCATAAAGGAGCCTTTTTTTTCCGTTTAAGTAACTAAACAAAGTAAACAGTTACAATAAAATAGTTACAGTTTACGACAGGTTGCTGCAGGGATGCACAGTGAAACAGGGGGTAGCTGTGCCGCCTTGCAGCAAGAAGGTTCTGGGTTCGATTCCCGGCCCAGGGTCTTTCTGCATGGAGTTTGCATGTTCTCCCTGTGCATGCATGGGTTTTCTCCAGGTACTCCGGCGTCCTCCCACAGTCCAAAAAACATGACTGTTAGGTTGATTGGCTTCTCTAAATTCTGCTTAGGTGTGAGTGTGTTTGTGAATGGTTGTTTTTCCTCTTTGTCTCTGTGTTGCCCTGCGATGGACTGGCGACCTGTCCAGGGTGGACCCCGCCTCTCGCTCATTAACAGCTGGAGATAGGCACCAGCGCTCAGCGGGTCCCCAGCTGGGATAATCATGACAGAAAATGGATGGATGCATGGAAGAGGTTGTTTTGTGTTTTAAGGGAAATTATACTTCAGTTTATTGCAATACTGTATAGTGCAACTGACTTTTCTTTTTTTCAGCTGTCAAAAAAACTGATTGAGCACTTTATTCTAAATTAAATTGGGACCCATCAAGAAGAGTTTCAGAACTACTGCCTTAACCTACAACCAATGCTAAAGAGGAAGAGTGAGAATCAAAACATTTTTGACAACAGCCAAGTTAAAGGGTAGATAAATGCTTATAACACTGTGTACTATAGCAATACTTGGCCTCTTCATCTAACTATGAGCTGATAGAAATGCATTTCAGATGATTGGATGAGGTTTTGACTCTAGGGGCTTACCACATATGCACGCCACACTTTGTATACTATGTGTAAAATACCAAGGGGTATGAATACTATTCAAGGCATAATATTCACATTTTGAGTGAGATGAGCAGCTGAAAGAACGCTCTGAAATCAAACACTGAGTACAAACCACGTCTAAAGCTACAGAGAAGGTCATGTAGACAGGAAATGGACATATTCACAAAGGGGAATAGGAAGTTTATCTGAGTGCAGAAAGGAGTCACAGAAAAAAAAGTGTAGGGAACTACTACTGTAACAAAAATAATAATAATAGTTAGATTGTGACACATAGGTATCCAAGATTACATCTCATTTCTCTTATAAAGTAATGCTAAGGAGCAAAAAGAGGCTAAGCCAAGTAAAGGAAAAAAATTGAAGTTGTTTTGTTGAAGTGAAAAAGAAAGTCACAGGTTTAACCTCTAAATTCAACAGTCAAATTCAAGTGAGCAGAACAGCTTCAGAAGACCAACACCGTGAAAGCCTGTCTGTACCACTTCCACATCAGTATTTAAAGATCGAAACTCTCATGTGGAGGGCCTTTGGGGTTTTCGGTGATAACGTACCAGCAGTGCATGAGAGGAAGCACACCATTTCCTTTCATCAGATACACAGCCTCTGCGTTTATGTAAAGCGCTCCTGCAAACTTTCTCTGTTTACAAGCCTTACAACAACGACAACAGTACCTAATATTGTTTGTAAGGTGGCAATGGGTTTTATAAAACAAAATGTGCTCACTTTTTGTTTGTCCAAGATCTTCATGGCGTAGAACTGGTTTGTTCCTTTATGCCTCACGAGCATCACACGTCCAAAGGAGCCAGTGCCCAGAGTCTTGAACCTTTCAAACTCATCCAGGGTTGTTGTACACTGTAAGAAATACACAGCAATCAAAATAATAAAGGGATTTTAACTGTGTTTAGGCCTGGATTACTTGCATTGCAACCCCCCTTATTGATATAGCTCAAGCTGATTTCATATTAGCTGGATGGGGACATTTTCAGTGAAAGGAGCTGCTGTATTACAAGACGGTGTGAATTATCCAGTGGGTTAGCATTCAGGCTTACAATATGCAAGCAATTTTAACTACCGGTAGATGAAAATAATATCATTTTAAACATTGAAAATATGTCTATTTTATAAAAAGAATAGAAACTAAAGGGTTCAAATTTTAGAAATTAGAAGATATTACCTGTGGGGGACACTCCCATTTTCTTAAAAAATCTTCTTTGGCTTTAGCTAAGAACTCTTTCACTATAAAAAAAAGAAAAAAAGGAACACGATTGTATTAAAACAATTCAAATGTCAGTACTTAGCAATATAAAGTCCAATTTCACATTCAGGGATTATAAAAAGCAAACAGTTTACATCTTCGGGGGAAACAAAAGCATTCTGAGGTCAGGCAAGTCGTGGGGAGAGGAGACTATACTAAAATCAAACGCAAATAAAAAAAGTTGTCAAAGTCAAAACCACACGCCTAAGCAGGAAACTTTGAATCACAAAGTGATGCGAAGAGCTCTGTGAACTTTCCGGATCTGGTCAAATTTGAGAGAAGCTGCTCTGCATCTCTTTAAGGAGAGGGGTGCAGGTAAAGGAGAGAGACCATATACAAAAAGACACAAGGTACAACATACATGTAACTAAGAACATAGAGCAGGCATGATGAGGACGGTGCACTGTTAAAGTCACAGCAGACATGAGGTGTCCGAAGTCACAGAGCCATTTAAAACAGCCAGATATCACAGATTTAAGCTTCGCTTTTAATCCATGGGGTTCTAAACTTTGTATGGATCATAAAATAAAAAGATGGAAAAGTAACAATTTAGATAATTTGCAATTTCATTTTTTTTTTAATAAAACTAAAGAGAGTAGACTGGATACATCTTTTTACTTTTTGTTAATTATATTAGCGCTATGAAAGTGGTGCATGTCAAAACTTCTTTTGTTTGTGTTTATTTGTAGTGATGTTTAAATGTTAAAATGATCACAGTGTTTTTGTGTCAGCCAACCTGAATAAAACCAATTTTAAATAATGATTTAATTTACAGAGGTGAAAAAAAGCTACCCAAACCTAATTGCCTCAGTGTTAAAGGTAATTATTTTCTTTATCAAATCATAAACCAACTTTGATTTTCTATATTGTTTGCTATAGTTTCCCAAACTACTCTTTGTCTGGAGACTGCTTGACACATTAACTCAAGAAATCACTTAAACTGGACCTTTTGCACAACACGAAGTAGGCTTAAAGATCTCTAAAAAGACAAAACAAATCGCACCAGATGATAACATCTGGAAAAAAAGCTTTCTGGACTCCAGAAAATCACAATGAGAGTCATTATCCAAAAAAGGAAAAGATATGGTGAAATGGTGAACCTTAATAAGAGAGCTCAGTCCACCAAAATCACTCAGACATCTGGCATCAGAACAACATCAAAGGTCTCAGAGCCTCAGTTCATTTCAGTCTTCATGATTCAACAATGAGAGACATTCTGAGCCTAAGCTGTATCTATGGGAAAGATTCAAGGCCAAAACTGACCGAAAGTAATTTTGAAGGAGAACTTCCAGCCATCAGTTTGGGACATTTAGTTTTAACATAACTGGGATATGCAGCAGAAAAAATGATCAAAAGCACACTATCAAAAGTCCACACCTCAAAGCTCTAAATGATGGTATATTCAAAGTCTGGGATTAAACCCTGACCTTAAACAGAACCCTCATGCTCCTAAACCCTCCAGTGTGGCTGAAATAAAACTATTCTATGAAAAATAGTGGGTCAAAATCCCCCCACAATGATTTATATTTATTTATTTATACAGATGCTTAATGATATGTTAATTTTTCTTCACAGGTAGCCAGATAGGTTTGGGTAACTGTTATGCTTAAGAAAGTTGTTATATCTTCATTAGAAAGCTGAGTACTTTCCGCAGTGTTATTATTATTTCTTTGATGATCTTAAATATTGTTAGTATATATACATATACTAAAGATGAAATGAACAATCGAATTTTAAATTAAGCTTTAACAATGGTTTATGGCCATTATAAAACATTTAATTTCACATAACACAACAATCCAAACCAGGATGAGTTCAATGACATGTTCAACTGCTTTGCAAGTTTTGGAATTAGGGAAACAAGGCTGTCCAAGAGCATTATACATTTTCTCTCTGTGACTTGGGATGTCTCATGGAACAATGAGCGTACCAAAAGTCTCTACAGTTTGCCCAGGGATTGCAGGAACATTCACCCATATGGATGGAAATGATGGAGAAGAAAAAGAGAGGAAGAACATTTTATGAAGTGCAAAAAAAACAAGAACATTTCAGAAACACATGTAGAAAAAAAAGAACACTGGACACAATGTAATGCATCCTTATCACAAGACATCGAATCAAATTAGACAATTCATCTTTTTGAATAAGCTACAGAATCGAGGATATTTATGTTGTTGTGCAGGAATAATGAGGCTTTCTGAGCGTTTTAACAAAATGAGGAAACGCAGTTGTTAACTGCGATGGTCTTTCTAAATGCAATTTTTTTCACTCTTCTCCTTGTCTTTTGTCATCACAAATAACACCTCACTCAATCAGTGCTAAAGGATTTTCAATGTGTGAAATCTAGACCTGTTTGTGCATCGAAGGCTAACACAAACAAGTGTTATTATGCTCGCACTTATACTGTAATGACATAGTGATTTGATACATTTTCTGCAGCTTCACTGTTAGGCTGCATATTAATATAATATATAATGAATTTATTTCAGGCTTTACTTAGTAGTAAATATTATTTTGCCATTCCTAACAATATGGTTCAATTTTGCTTTTCACAAAGACAAAAAAATACAACACTGACAGTAGGAGACTGTAATAAAGCCATGAAAATGATATTTTATGCTAAAAGATGCACAAAAATGACAAGACATATATATAAATGTACGATTATATTATATGACGGAAGTGCCTGAATCAGCCTGTAATAAAAAGCATTACGTTTAAAATGGCAGTGCTTCTAGGTAAGAAATGATCTTAAAAATGTGTTTGTAGTAAAAGCAAATTTTAGGCTATTGAGGAAATAAAAAATAAGTTAAACAAACTTTATTTTTAGTTTCAAATCCTGATATCACAACAAACTTAAAGAAAAACACTTTTCAGACACAATACATGAGCTGTAAAGATTAAGAGAGCCAATGGTTTAATGGAATAGGTGCTACATAGAAAATATCTCAGTACTTTCAGTTTTTCTAATGCAAGAAACAGCCCACCCTGCTCAGAGCTAAAGTTTAGCACAAAAGACATCCACTGCACTTACTCGACTTATCCCACATGACGGTGAACTCAGAAATTTGAGGCACTTCACTCTCCTGTCCCTTGCTCTCTTGTCCGCTCTTAAGATATTTGTGGATTAAGCGGCTGGCAAAGGAGTGATCCTTCCCCTGTGCCATTTCTAAGGTAAATAAGTTGATATGCGAGTGTAGAAAGCCTTCAAATAAAGCAACCGTTTGCAGGTTTTACACCACTGACACTAACTTCCTGTATGCAGTCAAGTCCTGTGCAATGGCTGCTTAACCACATTAAGTTAAGTTTCCTGTTCACGTCCTCGTCTACTGTGGCCCAATATGTGTCCAGTTGGTGCTGTTTCTACACCTCTCAGGCAAATTGTAATTTTTTTTTTCTTCGTGATTTGTTTTGCTTTCGCGGAGAAAAATCCAACAGAGCATGGAGGACCTGGCTTGAAATTTGAAAAACATTGTGCAGTCACAGAAAACCAAGACTACTGATGGGAACCCTTAAACACCCATAAAGCGATGGAATAAAGCACCTCGCTCCGGCAAACATGCTCTCTGGTGGATGTGTTACATACTGCACTTATTCAGTGGGTGATATGACTTAAAAATCTAGCCTCTGAATTGTTTCTACTATATCCAATGAATACTTTTTTAAATTTTCACAACAAAAATAACTCGGGCTGAAACATTTAATTGGATTATGGTGATGAATTGATTATTGAAATAATCATAAACTAATTTAGTAATCAATTAATTGTTAAATACAGTATAGAGACTGTACAACATGCCTTCAGCTGACAGAGTAACTTACTTAGAGCAGTTATTATATTAAAATTGTAAAAAAAAAAATATATATATATATATATATAAACATTTTGCATTTAAGATAAAAAAAAAGAAAAAATTCCGTCCGTCAATAGGCTCTATCCAGAACTCCTCAAGTTGAAAAGTTTTAGTTTCACCTGGTTTAATTAATTAAAAAATCTTTAAGGAACCTTTTGCTGTCAGATAACTAATCGAATTAATTGATAGATTAATCAAAAATGACAAGCATCACTTTCAAAAACAAGCTTTTATTTTAATCATCTCCTTTGGGAGGTCACCTTAATATATCTAAAAGTGATGAACCGATGTCCCCCTGAGCTATGGAAGCATAAGCGATGCAAAAAATAAAAATAAATAAAGATTTTCCAAAAAAAGTTATCTTAATAGACAGAAATTTCAATCAATCGATTTTATCGTTAATCGCCCAGTTCTTGTTTTCAGTTTACTCCATCCAGTCAACAATGTAGAAAAAAAATCTAGGACAATCAAAACTTTTTTTATTGTTAATATTGTGAAATTCAAAATAGCAATAAATATTAAATCTGCAGTGTGTAGTTCTCAGCTACATCTGCTGGTCAGACTGCGGACTGTAGCGACATCGAACTCTCCTCCCACCGCTTCTTCCCTTTCAATACTACGGAAGCTTTCATGGTACAAAATAAGTTCTGCAACGTCACCTATCTTGTAAAGTGATGACGAGGTCATTTTATATATATATAGAATTTTATAGATGGTATTTTTTCCCCACATCGTTGTCAAGTTTTAGTGAGCTGCTTAGCATGGTGTTATAAACAGACTAAGTAACTGGAGGCGTTACGTTTGATAGTGAGATTGCGTTGGTTGGAAGCATATATCTTCCCAGATTACAGAATCCAAGTCTGGACTGTGGCATGGTGGTTATTAGACGAGGAAGAGGGTGAGGAATAGGGGTGTAAATAATAATCGTTTTGTATTGATCCATCGATCCAACAGCCGACAATCCGATGCATCGACATGTCCGCAAGAGTGTTGATTCATGTTTTTTTTTTCCTCCGGTCTATTTTTATCCATTTGTTCCTGGGCGTAGTTCTCCCTCCCGTGCTGCGGTTGCGCTAAACCTATTTTGCCCTCCTACCTCGCTTCCTGGTTATACTCCTGCAGCAGTATGTCGCAGTGAGCTTGACACAGACATTTTTGATTTATGCTCAATATTGAAACATGGTCTGCGCTATACGCTGTGGTTCTAGATACGACCGAGGCGGCGAGGAAGTGGGGGCAAGTTTGTCCAACAACGGAGGAACATGATGGCGAAAAATAGCAGGGATCCAGGTGGAAAAAGGGTCCCAGCGTTCTCACGCATCTCGCTCTTCTAGCTGGTCAAACTTCACAAGTTATTTTCCACAATTTTGGTCATAAAAACAAAACAAGCCGGCCTCCTGTCTGCGGAGGGGGCGGGGACGTCGACATTCTGGAGCCGAGGTATTGCATTGCACTCATTGCACTGATTTTGTGCAGTATTTTTTGAAGCAAAGCCTTTCAGAATCTATAATGCAGAGGCATTGTTACTTTTCAGTGAATGAGGTTTTAATAGGCCTAGGTGGAGTACAACTTTTCTACTTCTGTTATTTGCTGTTGATTCTTAAATAAAATGCATGACAACATCACAGCTTTCATTGATTTATTTCAAATTTGAAACATTGTCTAGCCTGTAAGGTAAAAAACAAAAAAAAAACAAAAAACAATTAATCGAATTAAATCGTATCGTATTCTTGAGTGTTGAAAATATTCGAATCGTTGGGTCAGGAAATCGATACTGAATCAAATCGCCAAGATGGGTGTGATTTACACCCCTAGTGAGGAAGGGAGCAGAGGAGACAAGATTTGAAGCCCTCCAAAGGAGCTGGAGAGAAGTAACTGAGGTGTGTATCCAGAAGATTATTTTGTTGTATATCTATGAGGTCTGTGTGATACAGTAGAAATAATCCTAATTCAGCATATTTTATTTACCTTTCTGAGCGCTAAATGTAGTTAAGTTGCTGTTGTCAGTAGCTCGAGGAATAATCTCTGAGTAACGTCAGTACTCACTACCTGTGAAACATCAGGGACGTTTCTCAGTGGAACCCTGTATACTTGCAGAAGTCACATTGGAGCATAACGGCAATCTCTACAGTAACAAGTTTGTTAGCTCTGTGTTTCCGTAGCGCAATTTCCGTAGCACAGCAATTTCTAAGGCAACACAAACATAAATATGGAGATATTACATAACATTTCTGTCTGTAAACCCCTGAAATTATTACACACTGTAGCTTTAAGAATACATCTAAAAATATAAGAATGATTTGTTACCATACATGTCTGACTTGTGCTTTTCATTGGTTTCTAGTTGCAGCCCTCTGCAGAAACTGCATGTGGCCAAAATCACAAGTTTGTTAGACAGCAGAAACTAATGCCAATCAGAAAGCAGGTCAAGACCAGGGCTCTGCAGACTGGCCACAAGCTATGACACAGTTTGCTGGATTAGGCTGGCAACTCAGAACAACAACAACATTCCCATGACTGCTTCCCCCAAGTAATCTATAGAAGATTTACATTGTAGAACGGGTGCACAATAGGGTTACTTTGAACGAGGAGTTATATAAACTGGTTTTTACACTACAGAGTTCCAGGGTGTTTAAAGATCAATATATATTGTGAAAAAAGAATGGTAATAAATGGCTAATAACAGCAGTAATAACAGCAGTAATATTGCTAATGAAATGAACAGCAATTTAAAACTGTCAACACTGATTTAGTGGTAAAGTTACCTAAAATAAGACTTATTAGCCAAAGCAAACGCTTTTAAACTCTAATTGTTTTTAGCTTCATCCAGGCCCTGCCTAGCAGCTTGTTAGATGATGTTATCTTGCTGTCAGGCACGTGATATTGGCCCTTTTAAAGTTAAACAAATAGCTCCACTTAAAGCAATAAACATATTAAAACAATCAGTTTATTTCATGAACCACGTGATCCTTGACATTCAGACCCACGATCAGATTGACGATGATATATAAAATTCAGATATAAGATGGTTCTTAACATTTCCCTCACAGTTTTGAACTTCGATTATTAGCAACCAGAGAGGACGCTTTGTAAAAGTGTCCTAACCAAAGATGGTTGTTCCCTGCATCCCATGCTACTGTACTGTCTGCTCCAGTGATGGAAAAACTGCTAAATGATGCTAGCCGTTGGGTTTTAACAGCAAGCTGACAAATTCTGGTACAATTAACATTAAACGGCTAAAAGCAAACAGGATGGCTTCCTGGGGGCTCACCGCTTTCCTGTTCATTTCCTTTCTTGGCAGTCGCTGCGTTTCCCATCGTAGGCAGACAGGGCGATGCACAGCTGGCTAGGAGCGATGATGGTGGCCGTTAGCTAACAGGCTCCTCCGCTAGCTCGATAACAAAATTCAGCTTGTTCACACCGGCTGGCTAAAAACACCATTAATGTGCCTTCTTTATCGACAAAACCTGGTCTTACTCGGCTGGCCGACTCGCAGATGCTTATAAATCGTGTCCTTTTTGCTGTTCATGTAAACATCTGCTGGAATGACAACATGATCCAGACTTTTCACCTCTGCCTCCTCTCGTCCTGCGCGGCGTTCACGTCATATGGGAATATCCATGGATGCGTTTGATAGGTGGAACGCTGCCTTCACTGACTATTCGGAAATTACAGGTTTAGCGAAAGAGTTTTGCCTTTCGTAGTTGTAATTATTGAAAGGTGTTGTAAGGTTCTATGTTAAGCTGTAACAGTTTTAAAAGTGTTAAATTGTTGCAGTCTATCAAAGTGAGGTGTAATATAGTATAGTATCGTACAGTATAGTATAGTACAGTACAATATAGTATAGTATC